GCTTAAATAGGGTGCTGCTGGGGGCCAATAAGTACAGTAAAAATGAAAATCCAGCGCACTCCCTTATCTACTAAACATCTACTTTGGTGCTGACAGATTTTGCTACTTTTATTAAAAAACACCTAATCTAGGCAAAAAATAATGGGGGTTTAGTTACATTATATGATCATACATTGCATAAGCCTTTGGCAGGTCCTACTCTTACAACCAACTGTCTACTAAATGAGCTACTCACTTAGGGGAAATCCTTCCATCTCGAGTTCTCTGCAGTACAAGGCTAAATAGGGTCCTGAGATGAGGCACCTCTGACAGGGAGGGGTGCAAAACCAAGGAGCTGGCTAGATTTCCCCAAGTGAGTACCTCATTTAGTAGACAGTTGGTTGTAAGAGTAGGACCTGCCAAAGACTAACAAAATTATAAAGAACTAGACCTATTTGCATAATGAGATGCATACCTATTGCATAATTAAAGATTGTTTGAATTGAGGGAACTATTGCACAGGTCATAGTAATGTACATCAGTTGGTATTATGGGGTCTGCTATGCCCATCACAAGTATATTAAAAATATTTTTTTATGAAAAGGTGCATGTAACATCTGGGTCTATAACTCGGTCCATGTGAATACGTTCTAACTGTAGAAACTGTAAATTGAGATAAATAATGCAATATATGATAAATGTAAACCCGATTAGCCACATATGATAATCACATGCAGCGCTTCATTTTAAAATATAATTAAAGCAAGCGGAGCTGACATTACAAGAACAAATGATATGATAACATCTCGTTAAGTCCATGAGGTGAGACAGTGTCCAGTCTAAAAATCCAGTGAGTTTCTCTTTTGAGTAATATTTTCCCTATGTTTCTTCCGCTTCGTGGTTCCGGAATATGGTCTATTGCTGTAAATTTCAGAGATGTAAGTGGATGATGTTGGGCCAAGAAGTGCTTTGTGACTGGTATGTCGCTTTCTCCATCTCTATAAGCTGTACGGATGTTAGATCGGTGACCCCGGATTCGTTCGCATAGAGGGGTTTCTGTCTTGCGCACATAGGATAAACAACATGGGCAGGTAAGCTTGTATATAACGTAGGGAGTTCTGCAAGTGATCGTATATTTTATACAAAACTGCTCATTGGTGTGTGGATGATTGAAGGTGCGTGATGGCACCATATGGCTACAGGTCACACAACCCAAACACCTGCCACTGCCACGTATTTGTGTCCTATCAGCTTGCATGTAACATTGTGTAGGGTCCGTTTTGACTAGAATGTCACAGAGATTTCTGTTATGTTTGTAGCATAT